TAAGTGGTGTGGGGGCATGCCGGGCAGTTGGTGTCTATATTTCTTAAAATATGATTGAGGCGGTAGCCTAGTGGAAGAGCTCTGTGTATTTATCACCAAAAGATATCCTTTTTTTTGTTTTGGACATGTTTGGTATTAAGCCATATTGGGTGGTCTAATGCTTGAGGGTTCTGATCCAGAACAGCTAAGTCGGAAGTGGCTATTAGTTCTTTGTGAAGCGTTTCTGATATGCTCTTCACTGAGGATTCTGTTGCTAGAGTGTTTCTGACTTTTAGTTTGTCTAGTGACCAGGGCCAGAAAGTATTCTCGATAACTGTACCCTTGGCTCTTTCTATGCTTTTAGGTACGCTCTCCATCTTTCTGGCCAACCTTTAAGTTTAATTGGGTTTTCTTTTAGGGTTTGTATTACTGAGCTGTTTCTTTTATTTCATAGTTCTTTAGTAATTATTTCTCTTTCCGTTTTGGCCCAGAATGATTCCTCTGTAAGAAGTTTAATCCATATTGAGATAAGTCGAGAGTCTAGCATATCTTTTAGGATTGGTGCAAGTAGACCCCCTCTTTCCTGGTCTAGTTGAAATGTAGAGAAGCGGAGAAGCATTTTGAATTTGCCTTTTATCCAGGTTTTAATTATTGTATCGATTTCGTTTAATTGTTTTCTACTGGGTGGTAAGAGGTAGGCCAAGTACCAGATTTTAGACAGAAGGAGGGTTTTGGCTACCAGAATCTTTCCTTTGAATGATAGGTTTCTTGATAAAAGAAAATCGACATGTTTTTTGATTTTTTTTGTCATTTCAGGCCAGAGGTCTCTTGAGGGATTGCCCTTATTATCTGACTTATATCCCAATATTTTAAGGTTTTTGTCTTTAGGATGAGTTAGGAAATCACTCATACCTGAGAGTTGTACTCTTCGTGCATTTATAATAAGAGGGACTATGGTTGATTTTGTTCTATTTATTTTAGCATTTGACGCTTCCTCATATTTTTGAATTATGTTTAGAAGTTGATTCCAGTCTGTGATGGAGCTAATTTCAACTGTGAAGTCATCGGCATATGCCGCTAGCTTAAAAGTGTTACTAGAGACCTGGATGCCTTGTATATTATTGTGTAGTATTTAAAGGAGTGGGTCAAAGGCTAGGACATAAAGGAGTGGTAACAGTGAGTCACCTTGTCTAACACCCTTGTTAATCCTAAAAGGTTCTGATAGTATACCATTGTCGAAAATATGAGCTTGTTGTGATGCAAATAGATTATTAACCACTGCTATAAACCTATTGTCGAAGCTTATTCTTTTCAGGACTAATTTTAGATAGGAGTGGCTGACTCTGTCAAAAGCTTTCTGTTGGTCAATAAGAAATAACCAATACTATTTCGTTTGATTGTTTTGATTTCTTAATACTGTTAGAATGTCTAAAGCTGAGTTTGTGATCAACCTTCTGGTGATAAAGGCTTGTTGTGTAGAGCTAATAATTGTTTGACAAATAGGGTTGATACATGTGGCTAGTATTTTCATAAAAATTTTTGTGTCACTGTTAACTAAAGATATAGGTCTCTAGTTGTTTATGTTGCTGAGGTCATCTGATTTTTTGGGGATCAGCGTAACAATACTTTTTCCCCATAATAATGGCATTGTTCCAGTATTTAGGGTCACATTAAATAGTCTACACAGGATAGATACCAAGCTTTCTTTCAAGTCTTTATAGAATTCATAGGTGAGACCATCTGCACCTTGTGCTTTATTGTTAAGAAGAGTGTTGATTATATTAATGATTTCCTCTTCGCTAATTGGTTTAAGAGTAGGGTGAACGCCGATCATTTTTACTAGTGATCACGTTACTAATTTTTTTACAATAACATTTAATTGAAATCAGGTGATAATCATATGATATTTATATTGTGTAACCTAGGCAAATTTTGATCAACCTAGGAAGAATTAATGATATATGCAAGTATGGTTTTTTTAAATAATACAGGGGTTTAAATTATTATAATTAGAATTAGAAGGGTCTAATCTATCTACCCTAAAACTTTTATGAAAATCAGTTACATTTTCAAAAACTTTTATATGTAACATGTGTTTGATTTTTGTGTAATATTTTTTTGGTTGATCTACTTATATAAGAAATGATCTACATTCACCCTACCCTTAATTAGTTCATTGTTTTGTTCCTAGGTCACCTGAGGAAGATTTTTGGTTATATATGCTGCTGCTTCTGAATTACAGCTTTCTTCTCTGTAATATATTCAAGAGTGTCTAGCGGTTCTTGAGAGTTTGGATATTCTGGGTTTTGAATGCGGCTAGTGCAAGTGATGCTGTGTTTGGTCTTGTACAGAAAAAAGAAGTATCTTGTGGATTTTTCACCATTTTCAACCCATTTGGCATTAGATCTAATTTGCCATTTCTCTGAGAGTAAGGAGAGTTCTTCCAGTATTTAGGATTTGATATGTTCTGCAATTAGATAGAGATCTTCTTGCGTGGGGTCTTCAACCATTCTTGTTTTAATTTGATTGAGTTTTTTGTGCAGTTTTTGTATATTACTCTCTGGAGGTGGAGTAGGCTTGGCTGATCTAAGTATTGACTAAATATTGTATTTAAGCATGTCCCACTCCTGTATGTTTGAAAATTTTTCTATTTCTGTGCTGATTTCTGTTCTTAGATCTGGTGGCTCCAGTAGCTTCTGTTGAATTTCCAAAGAGGTGAGTGCTTTGATTTTGGCTTAAGGTAAATCGAGCTTTCTACTAGTAGGTGGTCTGAGTTACCAAAGCATGTAAGTGTATTAAACTTCGAAATCCCAAGGTTTGTGCTAATAAAAATATAATCTAGTCGGGTGGCTATCGTTTGGCTGCTATGAGTGTTTTGATAGAA